CACACCCTACGTCCTTTGAAAGCTAAAGCTTGACTGCAGGCTCTAAGCCCCTAACCCTGAACCTTAACCTTAAATCCTAACCTGTTGTCTCCGTCCTTTACAAAGTGCTGTCGTTTCGAGTTTGCTGTCTTGTTCGAAATTCACGCAACATCTTGATTGGTTTATTGCTGTTTGGGGTCTTCGCTGGTGTAATATATATGTACAAGATACTATATAGTATAATATGATCCAATACAACAGACTATAGTTAACGTGATATAATGTATTACAACATACTGCAGTACACTATGGTATAATGCCGCATAATCCAATTGAATGCTATACAACAAAATACAATGTAGTATAGTATACTATAGTATAGTCGTATAATACAGTATGGTATAGTATAGAATAATGTTATCTGACATGTTATAGCACAAAATGAGTTACGACAAGAAAAAGACAAGCAACGATGATATAATGTAACATATCTTGACATACTGCAACATGATACGATATGATATGTTATAGTACAATAGAACAGAATAGAGCATAACACATGTATACATACATACATACATACATACATACATACGGACATACGGACATACAGACAACCTAACATACATACAACCTAACATACATACATACATACATACGTACGTACGTACGTACGTACGTACATACATACACACACATACATGTATATATATACACACATGCATTCATTCACTGATATACAGATGCATCTTCGATATGTATGAAAGGGTATGATATCCCACAACGTACATCCACGCTGGTGATTGTGTTTTGCACCGTGCAGGTGGCACACGAGCGCACGTGATCCAATGCAAAAGACGACACACCGGCACTTATGCATCGAGCATTAGCTGCGAGCCGTCGTTCGAGTGGAGAATGCTCTGGATGCGCGTGCTGGTCACGGATGCTCGCACCGGCTGTGACTCCATGAACTCGGAGAGCCTCCCGAAAGATAGGAAGATCGCTACCGATGTCGGCCTGTTGAGACAAGGATTGTTCGAAGACAGCTCCGGATGTCAAGTCCGAGGAGTGCTTGAATTGAAAGCCAGATGTCGGGAGGCGGTTTGACAACGGCATGCTGTGCAAAGTGAGAGGGGTCGTGGTCTTTGAAGGACACAAACGAGGCGAAAGAGCTCCGTAGGATAGCTGTAGCGAAGAGGCTGCATGGCGGCAATCTGCCAAGCATATATTTTTCTGTCGCTGTGAAAAGCTACTAGAGGGGTTTGTGACTCTGAAAGCACGCAGTTTTCTGTGGATGGCATATGATGGCATCGCTAATCAAGCTTTAATCGAAGCATCGCCGGAAGCGAAGCGGGTTAGACTCCCGCGCCGTTTGCCGCTGTATGATCCTCTGTCACGGTCGTGTCTTACAGTAATATCTTGCACTGACATCGTGAATTATCTATAGTGGAGAGTGTGTGTGTGTGTGTGCAGAAGATATTTGATTGTAGTATCTGGTTGAGCCTTGTTGCGATATTGCCTGGTCAAGAGATAGACTAGTCAACAGTTGGCAAGTCTATTTTGTCATCATCGCTTGTATTCCCATGAGTGGAAGCATTACTTGGCAGTACTTAATCGCTGTATCTTGCCTTGAGATCATCCTTTAATTGGAAGCAGTGAGGATGTGGGCAACGTTGAGTTGCAATGCTATGCAGGGGGTGAGTTCTGTCAGAGGACTTGGCAGCGCTGTAATCTGTGGTTGCTCTTGGCCTTCTGCGCGGAAGTAGTTTCTTTCAAAGGCAATAAAAACGCTTGGGGCGGCCCATTCGCCCAGGCAGACGTTTTCCGCAAGCTGCCGAGAGGGCTGGTGGTGACATCAAAGATAGGTGGGATGCTGTCGGACTAGGACAGATCTGAAACAACTGCGAGGGGACACCATACAGTCCGATCTGCAACAGTCTCGGACAGTTCTTAACCTCGGCTCTCTTGGCAGACATCCGGGTCGGAACAGACTGGTGCGGAACATCATCTGCATAATGAGTAAAGTGCATATAGAAAAGTTGCAGCAGTGCAGACTGCCAGCCCGGCAATGGATAGTCGGTCTGCAGCGGTCATGACAACTCAATGCCGGCCTTCCTCTCATGCGGCCCGCACGGTTTGCGGCGGCCGTACTTTCCCTTGCCTTCTGCCTGCGAAGTACAGGCGCAGACCCTCGCGAATTTTGGGCTCCGTGCCCCTGTGGTGACATGATTCAGGTACGCAGGCTCTGACTTGGCCCGCTGGCTTCCGCTTGCTGAAGCTTCCGGCGGGCCTTGCAGAAGATGCGAGGCAAAGATTGAACACGTGGGTGATGTGTGGGTGCATGAACTTGTTGGCTTGCAGTCGCAAATGTCGCAACAGGTCTGAGCTTGATGCATGCCTGGTTCAGAACCAGCGGAAGCTGGAAATGCAGTTCTCCTTCACTAGCTTGCGCGGTGGTCGGGGCCGGCTGAGGACGCTCTGTTATGGAAGACAAAGGCAAGCTGTCTTGCGAAGAGTTTGCTGACTGACCAAGGAGGCTTCCTGGCCCAGACGTTTATCCCGCCTGCGACCGTCTCATGCGGGCAGCGGAGGTGAGCTTTGGCCTGGAGGCTGAAAGTGCGATCGGCTCGTGCCAAGAGCTCGTGTGACCGGAGAAGAGGGACTTTTGAAATTGTCTTGCTACAGGCCGACAGGGCCTTAGTCCAAGTCATGGTCCGGCAATACTGGCCCGGGCAGGCCTGCTCGTCGGAGTGAAGTGTGGTTCCCCAGCCTTTTTGGCCTTGAGGGCTTGAAGCTGCACATCGACAGCAAAGAGATGTTCGAGGCAGCCAGCTTCTCCTGCGGCTTTTCGGCACCAAGCTGTCGAAATCCACAGGAGCCGGTTTTGGCGGTGGTCCTACGAGCTGGAGGCCCGGAATGGGAGGAAGGAGGGAGTTCTTCCCAGAGTCGCTCTGAGAGGAGCAGGGGATGGCCTGGTCCTGCAGCACATGAAGGAACCAGATCAAAAGGCTGAAAGCAAGCTGAAAGCGAGCTGCTCAGCGAGCGTTGCTCCTTGTGGCCAGGCGGGTCCGGTGGCGGAGTGCACGGGCCTGGCCATGTGCTTCCAGGGCCCGGCTCGCTACGACTGGGGCCATCAGGCCAGGCCAAGCGCAGCAAAAAAAGCGCAGTCGGTGCGTGGGGCCCTCGGCCTTGGCATGCCTTGGCCTCACCCCCTACGGAGGTTCCGGCGGTTTCGGAGCGGCGTTTGTCCATCACCTGGCGTTGGCAGCGGTCTCGATTTTGTCAGATTCTCGGAGAGCGTGCGGGGCGCCGGTTGGGTCCGCCCTGTAAGGTTCCGCCCGCGATACCTCGATCGATTCGAGAACTGACACTCTGAGTTAGCGCTTTGCGACGGGAGCACGTTTGAGTGCTGGCACCAAAATCTTGGGCCTTGATGCCTTTCGCATTTCTGCCACTCCCGTTGTCAGAGAGCGAGGCAGGAAGCTCTCCAGCAAGTTGAGCATGCTCAGGCGTGTCGCAAGATCTGGCTCCGCAAACAGGTCTCGTAAGAGAGCCTGTGCATCCGTGCCATGACGATACGTGGAGGCCACAAAATGTGGCTTCTCCTTTCTGTCGTCATTGGTATGGTGGAGTCTGCCACTGTGAAGGTGATGATGCTTCATAACTCTTTTCAGGCAAACGCAGGTTGGAAGGAAGGTTTCTACGACTTCTTCGTTCCCTATGTGAACATCCAGGGCTTTACCATAGCAGGGGGAACCGAGAAGTATACATTGGACGTGTCGCTCTGCGAGGAGGACCTTTCGACGGCAGATGCCTCAACCAAGGTCACTGCATGTGTAAACCAGGCTGAAGCACAGGGCGTGGATGCAATCGTCGTGGGAACCTCGAGTTACAACGACGACGTCAAAACCGCCGCAGAGGCCTACGGCATCCCGAACCTGCACTGCTCAGGCAGGAACCGGTGTGGGGTCGCCTGGTACCTTGTAGGCAGCTGATTCGCTCCACGTGGTCCTGAAGGTGGGAACCCCATGTCCTGGACGGCAGCGACACCGCACGCTTTCGGTCCTGGCCTTGTTTGCGCGGCATAGAGCTACTGCTTCGTCGCGACGCGCCGAGGCCTGCACTTGCCGTTTCCTTGGTACTCCAGGGGCCCGATCCGCCAGGCAGATTCTAGACGCCGAGTCTCGCCAAGTGCGCTTTCGGTTACCGAGTGCAGCCTGTGCAGGCTGCGCTCTTGGAGCTGAAAACCGTTGTCGTGATCCGCAACTACGACTGGGGCTTTCCCCGCATCTCTGCCGTAGCTGCAATGGAGTGGAGCCTTGAAAGCTCCATGCAGATCATTGGGCCCACATTGGCTTGGTGCCAGAGGTGGGCCAACAAGACAACAACCTGTGGCATCCAGAACGGCAGCTGCCGATGTGGAACACAATCGGAGTTCGACAACATGGGCTACAAGTACAACGTTGCAGACATGCCAAGCTTCTATGAGGTGTCCGAGGCCCTGGTTGTAGAGCCAGGTTTTGACACACGGGGGCCTGGAATTTCTCCTGCTTTGGTCGAGTTCGTGGAGGGGATCATTCAGGCCCAGCGTTGCACGGCTGTGCTCAGCAACGCAGAGTCTCAAACTTTCTTCGTTCATAGTCTTCGATGCTCAGGATGTTCGCTCTCAAGGAGGGGATCCTGACATGGTCACTTGGACAGCTTGGGAGAGGCCCTGAGAATTCTTCGCAGCCAATGTCGCCCACCTTAGGTCGTCAACTGGCTGGCCGCAGCACGAAGTGGCTTGATGGCCATGATGAATCAGAAGTTCGGCTACCGAATGTACTTCGGAGGGCCGAACTATCCAGGCACTGCATGGAACGGTTATGAGACGCTTGGTTGAAGTCTGTCGGAGTGACCACAGCTGCGCCTCTCGTGACAAGCATAGATGCGGTCATGCGGTCGCAGTCTTGAGGACCTACTGGGCAAATGGCTCTGTGGCTCTTGGACAGGACCAGGCCTTGTACAATATCGGGGGAGGTCAGTGGCACCACGAAATGGGCTTTTCCGACCCCATCTTCGGAAGCAGCGCGCAGATGAAAGCCGTGTTCATCCAGCAATTTGGTAAGAATCCCGGCTACGCGCCTGCCTCAGCTGCTTCTGCACGAGGCCGCACATTCCTGCGAAATTGCAGTGCCATGGCCGCACGGACACAGCTCAGCAGCTCAGGATGCGGCGGCTTGTATGGCCGCTGGTATCTCCATCACCTTCGGCCTGCAGAAGTACGGCCAAGCTCTGGATGGCCTGACTTTGGCCCAGCGTCGGGAGGAAATTCGCATGTCGGTGGGCACGCTGAATGACGAGACCCTTTACGGAATGATCAGATTCAATCGCTTCAACCAGAACAACGGCCGCATGAGCGTGAACTGGCAGATTCTCGAGGATGGTGACACCAGGTACAGATGCTGAGAGTCAACACAAAGCCAGAGAGACGGCCAGAGTGCAGATCATTGCAGTCATGTTGAAGGAGTTTCTGTCAAGGTACCGGGAATAGAAAGCCCTTGGCAGTGTGGTGGGGTGAAAGACAGACTGTTCGAGGGATCAAGCGGGGAGAAGATGGGAGAAGACACCGTTCTCTCGTTTTTTCTTTCTTTCTCTGTCTCTCTCTCTCTCTCTGTCTCTCTCTCTCTCTCTCTCTCTCTCTCTCTTCTTTCCAGTTGTTCCCTGCGTCAGGCCTGTGCTCCCGCCAGAGGCAGGAAAGACGGGGATGGGTGGCTTAGAATCCGAAAGATTTATCAAATTTCGTAGGTCACTTGTGACAATCTCGTCAGGCAGCGGCCACACCCTTCCGCTTCCCGAGCCCCAGCTGGGAAGCACGCTTGGGCTGCCCAGTCGGCACTTATGCCGGCGGGACCGCCACCCTCGATGTCCCCACGCAGTGCATATTGTGCCCTGAGGGAAGGTTCCGTGATTCCATGAGCCAGGGACTGAACTTCTCGGAGTGTCAACAATGCCCGGAAGGCGTCGGGACTTTGCCGGGTGTCACAGGGTCCACCGAGTGCAGCTCCTGCCCGGCGGGGCGCTATCAGAACGGCGAGTCTGATCGTGGTGTTTGCAACCAATGCCCTTTGGGTACGGCAAGAGCCGGTACCAGCACAGGAGGTTGCAGTTTGTGCGACTCAGAGACCTATGCCGACGAACGAGGCCTTGACGAGTGCAAGCCTTGCCCCGCTCGAAGTTCTCAGTCCGATGTCGGGCAGACATTTTGTCTTTGTGATGTGGGTTCTTACAAGGACCCTGAAGATGCAACGCCCATAGGCACCGTTCAAAGCTGTTTGGCATGCGAGCTGATCCTTCCGGGCAGCACAACGCTGTATCCCAGTTCGAAGTACAGTCACGAGTGTGTCTGTCCTGCTGGCACTTTCTGGCACCGAACTTCGGCAACAACGAACGTGGCGGAGTGCAAGGAATGTGGCACAGGCCTAAACTGCAAGGGAGGTCGTGTGACGTCCAGTGGTGGGCGTCGACTGAATGCAACGATTCCACCCCATCAACCTCCTCTACAGTCTGCGGGCTACTCTGCTGGAGCCCAGCCTTACGAAGGTGGTGATCCCGCTTATATCGTCGAGTGCAGCAGCTCAGTCCGGTGTCCTGGGGACCTGCCACTCGGTCATTCATGATGTCCCGAGAGCCGGCTCTTTCGGCTCCAAAAAGATGAAGGTTCTAAAGCCTTTTAGCAGTATCCTGTAGTAGTGCACTCTGCAGTGCGCCCGGCTGTGCGGTGAGCTGAGGCCACTTGGCGAATGTCCCGGCAACAACCGAGGCAAGGGTTGCCTCACCTGCCTTCCGAACAATTACGACGATGGCTCCACCTGCTTGACGTGTGAGGGTGGCACATTCACTATTTGGCCTCTCTTTGTGGCACTCATTGCTGCCGTGGTCCTTGTTTTGGTTCTCTACAAGTTTGCCACGAAGGTCGATAAACCTCACAGAGACTCCTTGATGACGGTGACCATTGGTGCTGGGCTGGCTATCGCGACAGTGCAAACGCTGTCGGCATTTTCCAAGGTCGAAGTACAGTGGGTCGAACCGTTGAAGACGCTTCGGGGCTTCTTGTCCTTCTTGACCTTTGACATCGGCATTCTTCGTCCTGGCTGCTGGTTCGGGAATGTTGATCCGCTGCAGAATTACATTGGGTCCTTGATCATGTACCCAATGGGTGCCGGTGCCGTCATGCTGGTCTTTGCAATTGCAAAGTATGTGCTTAAAAAGGAGATCACTCTCAACCAGGTAATCAATGCACAGGGCTTGATCGTCTCTGCAGTCTTCATTGCTGCTGCCTCAGTGCACGAGCAGACAGACGGTTGCTGCATCCTTTCAGATGATCAGATCCATAGCTTTGATTTTGGCTGGTTGAACCAAGGCTTTGACGTTCTTGGCCGTGAAGCCTTTTCAATGCGTCGGGAACCCCGATGGCACGTCTTCCCTCGCAGCCTTCCGCGATGTGATTTGTTGGGAGAATGCCGACCACTTCGCCCGCTCCCCATCCTTCGGTGGAAGGCACAAGTTCTTGTTTTGATGAGTCTGAGTCCCCGAGGCCATGGTCGGCCTCTCCTTGCTGCCTTTCTTTGGTGGTGTTGTGACCTTCATGGGCCTTGTCATTTGGGCTGCCCCTTGTCAAGTTCTGCAAGCGCCACATGCCGCCCTCCTCGGGCTCTCGGGTCGCCCTTGCGTCTCAGGTCATTCAGTATCCCATGAAGGTGGCGAAGCCTGGAGGAGTAAACTTCGTGAAGCGATGGAATTTCATGTTTGCCCGCTTCAGCCCGACGGCCTATTACTTCGCCTTCGTGCTGAATATGCGCAACCTCTTGATCGGCCTCATCCCGGTGCCTTGGAGCAGCAGGGCAACCTGACAGTCCAAGAGCATTGGATGAGGACACAACCAGCGGATGTGCTGGTTCTGATTCAGGTGCTCTTAGTGGAGTTTGCGGAGCTGCAGTTCATTTTCCTTACGATCACTGTGTCTGTGTACACAGTTCTGCAGGCAGGGTGCTGAGGAGAGAAGTTCCCAGCACTGCATGACCATCCTGCCATGAGGCCCGCATCTGGCCATGGCGCACCTCGATGTCGAATTACATGGACTCATGCTGCCTGGTGTGCACTCGAAGGAAATGTTCATGCTTACCACGAGCTCGCACGCATTAGCCTGTGCATGTGCACGCCCCTGTAGAGATTTTGACGAATCTAGGATGCAGTCAGAAGAGGCCTATGTTTAATTTCGGCAAGTGAGGCCTGGCACTTTTCCTGATCACTGTGATCGTGGTGGGCAGCATGCTGCTGGATTTCGATGTCCAAAGAGGAACTGTGTTCATTCAGATCATTTTGATGATTGGGACAGTCTTGGCCTTTATCGGCTTGGTATTTTTGTTTGGCATGGCGACCTACAGGGCCTACCGCCCCTCACGGACTTATGGCATATTCCTCAGCCATCACAAGCTCGGCGCCGCTGTTTTGTCTCGGTGGTGGAAGATGATGCTCTCTGAGCATATCAAAGACAAGGCAGACCGATAGACAGATGCAGAGAGCCTGCGCAGTGCCCTTTCCTTACTAGAGCATCCGTCGCAAGGTGTTTTTGGATTCCGACGACGTCAACAAGCTAGATGCCATTATCGACGTGACGGCATGGGACTCGCAGAATGTCGTGGTGCTTATGACTCAGGCACGGGATTGAGGTTCAGACTTGGCCAATCGAACATTCGAGACCTCAATCCTGCCGAGCAGCCATCAGCAAAGAAAAAACCTGAAGATAAGTACAAGCACTAGCCAGCAAGCATCGACTACAAGAGACCGACGAAAACCGAAGGAGACGTTGAAGAGGATGTGGTGTGCTGCAGAAATCGCCAGTGCGTGGGCTGCAAACACGAATATTGCCGCTTGTCTACGCTACCTCTATGATACCCGGGATCAGAAAGGAAGGATGCTTGCCAAGGTTCATGGTGCCCATCCCGTCACTTGCCGAGGTTCTGGTGAGTTGCGACGGAAATGGCTTTTCTGATGAACTGATCCAGTCCCTCCCATCTCTCTGGACAGAAGAGCAGCAGGCATGGCTGCAGGGTCTCGACTTATGATTTTTGTCAATGACACTCTTGCCTGCGGCAAGTTGCAGCTGTCGGCAGTTTCACATGCGTGAAGTGCCTGTTTCTCGCAGAATCTGCAAGCGACCCCGTCACTGTGAACTGGACTGCTGTAAGTGGACCTCACTGAACTCGTTAAGAATATTTCATCGTCTCCATTGTGCAACCTTATTGTCGCGGAATGTCGCGGAGTAGCTACTATGATGTTCGTGAAGTACTGCAAAACTGTCACACCGAACGGTGTGCAACTGCGCTGCATCAGCTTCTCAGGTTATCCGTGTACCCACAGACCTCGGGGCACTTGCGAAATTGCGCTAGGCAGTCTTTTCTGCTTGATTCCAGGCTACGCTGGCAAATGCTGGTGTCACGATGAAAATGATCGACTCTCGCATGCGCTTGGCATGCGCAACATAGATGACCTGCTCCCGACGCATGAGCATGCATCGCCCGAGGTCGATTCTTACGAGGGCCTCAAAGTGCGAACGCCGATCGGGCTAAATCGCAAGGGTGCCAAATCCGACGAGCACGAGCATGCGGTGCAGCTGGCGGTCTCTCAATGCAAAGGCTTGGGATTGGGGCAAGTGACGGAGTTCTCAAGCCAAGTTAGATGATCAGGCCTGAGCAAGCGAATGTTCGGCAAGATCGCCCGGAGCAGCTCGACCCCTCAGGCGGAGGCAGCTGCAGGGACGTGGGGCGCACGGGCTTGGGTCTGGTCGGCTGATGCTCTGGACATGCTGGACAGGACGCTTCGTCGGGAATGGTGATGCTTGGGGACTTGACAACGCCTGAATCGGGGAGCTGCTGCAAGGCGCTGGGATGTGTCGCCACGTCTCCTCTCACTTACGTCATACTTGCACCGTGCCAGGTGATCCAGTCCATGCTCCAGTCCAAGCTACAGGAGTCCGTGGCTGTGCTCGATCCAGAGATAGAGGTTTCGAACTTGGACGCGCTGTCCGAGAAGTATGCGAATGCGAAGGCCTGCCGACAAGCCGCACAGCTGGCCTCGAACACCTTTTTCCTTGTTCCGCTGGCTATCAAACCGCACAGGTGATCCTGGTCATTCTCACTCAGGGATTGCTTCAAGATGCACTTTTCGCCGGTGCTTTAGCCACCTGCCCTGTGGAAGTGCGGGGGAACTTGGTTCCTATCAAGGCAGACGAAAATTTCATTTACCCGGATCCGGTGTTCTGGGAGAAACTTGCTGCGGGACAGATTTTCTCAGCCACCCAGCTGGCCACCTACAACACCGACTTCGAAGGGGTCAGAGCAGCTTATGCACGGCTCTTCAATGTCTTGGCGCTCAAGTTTACCTCGCATGGAAGCGAAAGCATTCAGTCCACTGAAATTCAAGTGATGAACGGGCGCTTGGCCCCAATGTTGGCAGCGGACAAGATTGCTTTGAAGCCGGCGGCTCCAAACAAACAGGCCTCAACGTTGGAGGCAGTAGCTCCAGCGAGCGACAAGGGCAAAGTCATTGATGTCCCGCCGAAAGAGGAGATCTTGGAGGAGGACTCGCTGCTTGTGTGCTGCTCATGTTTGCGTATGCAGCGTGCAGCCCTGCGCGCAGGAAATTTGAGAGAGATCTCGCATGCCTGAATGGCACCGGTCGCACTCGGGTGCGACCTCGAGATTGAGTTTTTCGAGCATTTAGTACCCACCCAAACGGGACGGGATCCCTTCTTTTCGTCCTCTCCGTGCAATCCAGCCGTTCCAGGGCCCTGGGAAGGCGGGCAGTTCGAGGTAAGAGACCCCAGCGACCCCGGAAATGAAAGAAACCTCTGCCTTTGCGGTTGCCAGCTTCAAGATGGGAGGTCGTTGTGCTATCTCTACCTGACTCTACCTCTCGATGCCACTTCCGCATTCCTATAGCCTCCGAGAGCCACTGGCTTGAGCGTATCAAGGCCCCGCACGGTCCATCCTTGAAGCCATGACCTGACATCTGATACCTCGTGATGCATGGTTGTCGGTGCATGACACCTCTTGACTCAAATCACTGCCTGTTGCCCCCTGACGTCACATTGTGGCTCTCATGGCCGGTGCCCTCGGAACACACCGAGCTGATGGGCCATGACGGCCTCGGCGTACGCAGGCACCTGCCTCTCTTCGAATCCCTTGGCGACTCTGTGTTACACACTTTACAGCAACGGCTCCTCACTAGACACGAGCTGCCTCAAGAACGGCCTCAGCCCAGCGCCCTTCACTTAGTCTGCTTTATTTCGTCAAAATGTTGTGAACAAGGAAACAGCTAACGTCAACACCAAGTTGTCAAAACGAGCATGAGCATACGTAGGCGGAAAGACCGAAGAGCATGAAGCACGGCAGGAATGGACGGAGAATCATAAGGACCCTTGGGGGGCTAGGGGGGGAGGGGGCATTAATACCTGCAATAAAGACCTAATCAGGTCTATTTCAGGAAGTATAGTCCCCTACCCACCTCCGCGTTACCCCCATGAGAAAACGTGTGCAAGACAAAGAGCGATCACCGTTTGGCGCAAAACCGCCGCGAGATCAGAGGGCCCCGTCCTGTGAAAGGAGTTGGACTTCGACCTTGGCCTGCGGCCTCAGGCAAAGCCTGGTCTCTGCCTTACTCAAGGATTTTTTTGAGTTTCGAGGTCTTCTGTGGAGCTGCCGCCTCCCAGACGGATACCAGGAGCGAAGCTGCAGAGATCTGGTCTTGTTAAAAGTGAAAGCTGCTGTTCTCTTCGCATTGACTGCGCTCTCTCAGCAGGTGCCCGGCACCCACCAACTCGACAGGGGCGGGAGCCTGGAGTGAGGGTTTGATGGAGCGCTCTGAGATCGGAATAGGATGCTCGTACCATCTTTAAGGATCTATTGCGCTGCCTGGACTGGCGCCAGAGGCTAGGATCCCAGCACCTGTGCAGCTTGTGAGCCGTGTGGTACGACGCGCTATCGTTCGTGCATCCTGACGACTCAGAACGGAAGCAACGGACTTTGAAGAAGTGTCACACACCCCCACAGAGGCTCTTTGCCTCCTTTGCTTCGGTACCTGTTACGAAGGTTCGCAGCATGGCGCCGCAATGAACTTGTTCGTCAGGCGGCTGACGACGCAGCTGTGCAGTATTTCAAGGACCCCGGACCCGTGCCGGAGGTGCAATTCTGCAGAGTCCATCATGTGCACCTGTATGCAGGAGATATCGAGCAATCGCAAGAGGGGATGGCTGAAGTTCGACCTCCAGTGGAGTCGGCTTGTTTGAGAGTCTTCTTGCAAATTGCAGACAAGTTTCAACTCATCAGTGTTCCCATGACCGCCAACTGATTCTCTTTGCAAGGGTGACCCTCTTCACAGACGAGATGCTTGGTGTGCTGAAAAGTTGGACGGAAGATAGGCAAGCGGTGATAGACTTTGTACGGGACAACTTACTGGTCAGCAATCAGTTTAGAGGACCGCCATGCCGCAAGTCTATGTCCTGGGAGACTTTGTTTGGGCCTGAGTGACCCAGTGAACTCGAGTCTGTTGCCCGCGGCTCTTCGCGGCAGCAGAAGATCAAGAATGAATATTGTGCCAGGGGCTTGAAGTTGAAGCTGCCTGCTCACAAATTGTCATCCAAGGAGCTTGCATGCAAGTACATGGAGGAGTCTGTAGGTGGAGCTGGCTGACTTTACCAGCATTGCCTTATGACGCCCCGTCAGCAGCAGCCGAGGGAACGAACAGCGAACAGAGAAGAGACTCACGAAACAGGCGAAGGCACGAGGAAGGACTGTACCTGTAAGAGGGACCCGGACGGGCATATTTCACCAACTGGGGTGCCAAAATACAGTTTTTGGGTTGCGGCTTTACAGTTTTTCGTTCTGGCATTGGTTTGTTTGATTTAGGAATGGTTTTTGTCGGGATTCGGATTGAGCTATGGCATCTTCTGCGCTGTGCAGGCGGTGTGGCTGAAATATGCTGAACTCGTAACATCATATCCCTACCGTGTCGAAACCGACTGGGCACCGAGTTTCGCTCCCGGACAAGCTGTGGCACACGTGGTCAAGTCGAAATCGCGTCTAAACTCGTGTGGAAGCCGCATCGGATCGAATCGTGCCGTAATCATCTCAAAGTCGAGTCAGCCCCACACCCGGAGCTGCTATCTGCGCATATCTTCGGACATCCAACCGCATCGAAACAATCAGCGATCACGTCGGCGTTGTCTCCAACGTCGCTGCGAAAACGCATACGACTCGTGTCAGTACATGTGAATCGTAATCGTGCCGCAATATCAAGTCAAGACTGATGAGCTAACACGACTGCGTTGAAAGCTAGCATGGTTCTGCATGCAGGCAAAATGCTGCAACCAATATCTCGCACTTGGCAGACAGGAATTGTGCTTGCCATTGAGCCTGAGTCGCATGCGAGGGTCGAGTGTCAGCCAGGCTTTCGGTACTCCATGGAGCATTGGGTCCATCAAGTCATCTCGTCGAAGACTTAGAAAACCTTCGCGTTATCGCGAGCGCTGATGTCTATTGATACAGGTCCAATGCTGCTATGATGGTCACGGATGTACAGGTTCACAAGCTCTCTGTTCTGCTGATAGAGCTCTAAGAGATTACTGAAAGGACGCCGACTTTGTCTTTCTTCCCCACTGTGCCACAGGCGTCCCTTGGCACAAAGAGACAATGCATCTGGTAGGTCAGCATCAGTTTTGCAGCCACAACATGCCACAAGAGGATCATTAAAAGCAATGCTCGTTATGAGACTCTTGAGGTCTTCATGCACATGGTCGTGGAAGATGATTTGCGACGACAGCGACAGGCCAAAGGGGCCTCGAGCAGCCTAGCAAACGAGCAAAGCGGTTTGGGATTCCCAAAGCGCGGACAGGCGCCGAACTCCTCGAGGCGAGCAGCTCAGCGAACGCCCACAGCGTGACTTAAAAGAGGCTCTAAGAGGCAACGAGAGGCCCAGAGGGCAACCGAAGCAGAAGGCAAAACGAAGCACCTATCCAGCTGCAGCGTCCGTCGATTGAAAATTACACACAGCAACACGATAATGCCAGACGATGGTTTTGAAGCAGCACCTGTCAACCAATGTCTGAGCTGCGCCAGCTCTGCATGCATCACCAACTCAAAGCTACTGGTAGCCGCAAACAGATCAACTCCAACAAAAACGATGCAAGACATCCCTCCACAGAGACACACAATCAGTCACGCTCACGCGCTGATCATCCCTTGAGTTCTTGCTCTAGTTGAAGTCCCGTGAATGCCAAGACTACTTTAAGACTAATTCAGTCTCCAAATTGTGTGACTTCGGTAGGACGTAGCCGAAGCGATACAGTCGCTGCAGGCTGTCAGCTAATCGTAAGTGTTCCGCGATACCCGCAAGAGCCTGACACAGAGCGCCCGTGGTTGAGGAACAGTCAACAGGAGTTGTTAATCGTTTGGCGCATGAAAAGCCTGCGTGTGCGAACAGGAAACTGTAGCCTTAGCAATCGGAGCGATGGCTAGAATATTGCACCCTTGTGGCAAACCACACGGGTGGTACACGCAGCAAGGCGCCATGTCGCTGGTATTTTGTGCTGATTATTTAACCAGTCTGACCCAGGCAAGTTGCTGAAACTTATCTCGGTGTGTCCCTTATTGCTGCGGATGTCAGGAGATGCTGGGGCTGCCAGAGACCAGCGCAATTTTCACTCTGAGGTTATGAAGGCAGCCTCCCCGCCTCCACAGTTCTGAGCGGTAGCCTCAAAGGGACTCACCAAGAGCTCCTGCTGGGGCTCTTGCCTGCGACTAGGGCTGGACACTTCGTACTTCATGCACAAGGCGACGACAGCCTTATGTCATCTCATGCGTCCATGTTGCTGCCGCTGCCCCTTGCATGCTCGCATGGAGAGGTGCAGAAGATATGGCAGCAAGCGCCAGAATATTGGCACTGCTGGTCACGTCCTTATACTGCTGCATGGCCGGCTTGGCCGGCCTTGCCGATGAGCCGGCTCAAAGCTGGGATCGTGGCTGCGACCATGTTTCGCAAGTTGCTCAGGAAACGTGCTAGTTGCAAGTTCCTCATTGCGAGCATTTACGGGCGTCACGTAGACGGCTCAGCAAATTCAGCAATAGAACAGAAAGGCGTGATCATGCAGTGCCTGAGTGGCTGAAGTGCCGCACAACACGCAACTGTGGTCAGTGAGGTGTGGCGAAGACTTGCCGCCCACTTTGGAGATAAGACAGTTTTCATCACCCACGGCGGGACTGCCAAAGTTCGAAGCCAGCACTGGCCACTGACGATGTTTGTTACGGTGCTGTGGCTTGCAGGATGTCACCGTGGCTCCGAGAGCAACCCGACAGTTACTTCCTCAAAATTCCAGGTGTGGTTAGGAGGTGGACACTCAGTTGCTTTGATTTCTAGTTGCCCGCAGGGGACGCGACTCCTTGGCTGCCTTCCGATGGCAACACCTGTCGCCTTGTCCTGAGCCTTTGGAATTCTCGCGGATTCAGCCGGAGTGGTCATGGGTCGTGTCCATAAAGTGTGTTTTCATCGCTCAGCCACAACCCACAGATCTGTCATGTTCTGAGCATTTTACAGGCGGATCGGGCGTTTACTTCAAAGTGTCCACTCACCTGAGAGTCTTGTGATAGAGGGACTGAGTTTCTTCGCTGGCTCCGACTGGCTCCGAGGAGCTTCCTGCGCACTGCACTGCCAGATGGAGCCCCCTGCGATCCTGCCTCAGGAGCGCAGAGGCAATCAGTTCAAGAAGTTGTCCTTCGCTTTGAAGAGGTTTTGGGTTAGTTCGTAGAGTGCCAGCCAGAAAGGACATCGTTCTTCCGTGGGTCATTGCATTTGAGTGGACCCAGCGGGCGAGGATCTCAGAGCTGCAAGACTCACCTTGAACGAAGGTAGCTTGGCAGAGCAACTCTTGTCATAGGCTGGGATGTATCGCAATCGAGATATTTTGGCCTTTTACAGCGGTGCGGGGCGCAAGTGGTTTAACCCACTCTTTCGTTCGCTTAGCTGAGCTCCACTGCGCAGGTACACGAAATTCTTGTTCTCGGCACATCCTCCACGAGGCTGAACCTGCTTCCATCATGCCGGATCGCCTTAACCTTTCCGGCTGGCCTGCATCAGTGCGGGGAGATGGGACTGGGAAAGAAGTTGAGAGGGGAGTTCACTTGCTTCTCAACGGTCAGAGTGTTGAGCTTATGATGCTCTTGGAAGCGGTGGAGGCACCGTCACCGTGTGCAGGTCTTCGGCGAGCAGTTTGAGTCGGAGATGAACTTCGAAGAGGCAGAACCTCTTGTACTGTAGTGTACACTTAAACAAAGTTTCATCTCAAAGGCTTCGTAAGAAGACCAGCCCGGTTCCTGCGAGCTGCAGAAGTCATGGACGATCCCAAGAGAGTTGGGCTGACCATTCAGGAACATGCTTAATTACGCACTTGCACACTTATGTACTGACACAGGAACTTGGCAGTGTAACGTTCAGTGTGCACGGTGCCACCGACCTACCAATCTGTTGATCTTCTGATCGCCCACACTACCTCTGAATCATCGCGAACCGCCTCCTGGACTGTCTGTCCTCAGAGTATGCGGGGCACGGTGTCAGCCGCCGGGACCATCTTATAAGAAGCCTGCCTGGCAGAACGTTCGGCGCGAGCGCAGCGCCAAGACCGATGTGTTGAAGGCACAAGTTCTGCCGATTGCAAGAAGACCCGGTGACCACGTCTGCACTCGGAGGACAGAGTCCTCATTTTTCCACCCACTTTCAGACTACGCCAGCAGGTCCGCAAATGTCGAGCCGTGGCCTACCTGAGGGTCGGATGCACATGCCGCCATGCAGGACTGGTCGGAGCTTGCATTCAGATCGAAGCCATTGCCCTAATCTATCCTCATGGCCATGTGGATGCATCTCACTATGCCCGGGTCTGCAGGTTGTGCATCTGTCCCGACGGTGACTCGCCTAATACGGGCCGTCTCATCGAGGTGGGCGCTTTTGCGATCCTTGTTTGGGCACCGCGTTTAGCTTGGGAGGTCATCATGCACGGCTGCGTTCCGCTGATTATTTCCAATCGCTTGCAGCCCCCTTTCCACCAGGCCGACAAGTTGGCTTCGTTCCAAAATTGTTTTTTGCTTGCTTGCTTTGTGTGCAGTTGTTTGACTGGTCGAAAGTCGCCTTCTTTATGCGTGAAGACGCGCTTCCACACCTGTTCAAGTCTTAGAGTGTGCTGTCCTAGTTGCTGCAGCCCGCATTTCGAAGCCATCTGTGATGGAACTTAGGCCACGCATCCTCGAGCAGTTTAAAGGCGAGGGCATATGGAGACCGGAGAGATGTTGAGTGCCTTCACCGAGAGCTCACAAAGGCCCAGAGGGTGATCGTCGAATCCGGCAGAAGCGTCATAGACTGGGAGAGGCGAGGACGTGACAAAGTTCGAAACAGTTCAATTGGGGCCTTTAGGGTTTTTTACGGGTTTGGAGCGGATGCGGAACCGTAACACCGGCTTGGCCAGATGTCCCATCTTCTTGACTACTCACGAGACGGAGTTGCATCGACTTTGCTTCTGACCCTGCGGGTGCCTTGCCTTGTTGTGCGCTTCACAACCGTGAGTGTGGTGCTTCTCCCTGGGCCTTCAGGAACAAGCTTTTGACCTGAGAGAGGCCTCTTAGTGAAGCCCAGCTCAATAGATCTCAATAGTTTTATCCAGTAGCCTGGGCTCGCAACGGCTAGGCAGCTCGGCATGGAGAAAAATGCAGGATTTACGAATGCTAGTGCAGTATCTTGCAGGGCTTCGCAGGGAAGACAGTATCCTCATCCCATGGACTATCCCGGCGATGCGGTCCTTGCAGCCTAGCATTCAGCCAAGACGAATGTGTGGAAACATGCATGCAGCAAGTCCACGCATGTCCACAGAGGGAGCTTTCGATTTGGAAGCACCAGCAAAGTCAGACCAGATGAGAACTCGCAGCATCGGCATTCGAAGCCGTCGGTCGTACAGAAGACGTGACAGAGCATGCGATGGCATGCTGACTCATGCGGACCAGCCACGGACCTAGCTGGCAGCGGAGGGTGAACGTTGACCAATGTTCAAGCCTGTGCTGTGGAACGTGCCAGGCAAGCGTGGAAGCGCAGGTCATGGAGGCCAAGGAGACAGGGGCTACACCGGCTACGCACCGGGACAGGCTACTTGCGAAACATGGTGGAATGTGTAGGGATTAAGACTGAACTGACCGACACTCAAGCCGCGAGACTTTTGCCCTAAGCCCTCTTGTCGGTCTTCGGGCATCAGCCTTCATGGAATGTTGGGTCCGCAGCAGGTTTTGGCAGGTCTTGAATGGTCCGAATTGTACTAGCAGCATCCGATGGGGAAGGAGTCTGCCAGCTGTGCACTGCAGGCTCGGCCTTCAGGCTTGCCACCGCTCCCATCCAAGACGCCGCCTCTGCCGCCAGGCGACAGTTGAGCTTTCACAGCATATCCGACCGTGGTCGCTTTGCAACGTGCGCAGGAGGTGTCCCTTCACCATCATGTCGCTTGAATCCCAGTCCATACCGGAGTATGACGAGGCAAGATTCCTTTCAGAGCTGGTCTGTGCAGTTCTTCCGCTAGCATGTCCAAGCTGCTAGCGCACCTGCAGCCTGTCGTCTGAGACGCTGATACAGGTTCTGGGTGGAGGTCAGGCACGTAATGGGTCACGGCGTTTGGAGACCCTGAACGCGTAAACCCCAGCCAAAGCCCCGTAAGGCGGAGCGGGGCGAGTGCTTTCTACATGTCTATAGGCCTTCTATGGCCCTCTCAATTTGTCGGTGCCAATTTCAGCGAAGGCCACCTGGCACATTTTCCGTGCTCACAGCCATCACATGCCATCACGGACATGTGCTTTTCTTTCACTGGGATGTTCGATGTTCGTTCTTCGTTCCGCCAGATGGCATGCTCTGTGTTGCGGTGTGAGCCGGCCATTGCCAGTTGCCAGCTCCCTCGCGGTGCCGGCGTCTTCTCAACAGACCCCTGGATTCCAACCCCGGGTGCCTGCCCGTACTGGCATTCGAGTTCTCGGCCACGGCAGCGTGGTTTTCACTTCATTCTTGGATTTACTCAGGGTCGGGCCTGCACTTATGAGAGGAGGACCTCTGCGATTTTTGCTTGAACCTCTGAACATGCCCATCGCAAGAGGTCAGGCCGATTCGTGCGTCCCACAAGGGTCGGCGCATGTCGGAATACCGCAGTGTAGAGATGGGGCCCGAGAGATGTTGCTCTCCGCGAAGGCATTCCAGCTCGACTTCGGCCCTGCCGTGCATGCGCAAGGGTCTGCTGAACAGTCGAGAGAAAAGGGTGTTCTAGCACTCCGACACCGTGCCCGCGGCAGGCAAGCTCGTCCCGCTACATCCAGTGAAGAGAGGCCGCAACTTCAATTTACTTTGCACTTCTGTAATCTGACGGTGCATGTGCGCCTTTGTAACATGTGAACATGCCAAGACCTCCGTCTGTGCGAACTTGCTTGCGTTGCCAGGGGATACGCTGGCAGCTCGGACCGAGGACTCGGAAGGGCGAACGTGAGCGCTTAGCGTGAAGCCTGAGCCGTGGCGGTGACAGGACATGGCCTCGACGGAGCCGCCAAGAGCTGAGATGGGCCTTGCGTGGCCTTGCATGGCTTTATGGCTTTACATGGCCTTGCATGGCCTGGCCGGCGAGAGTGCAGCGTTGCTGCTCTCTCTGCTCTGAAGGAGCGGGCGGCCGCTCCAAGCGTCCTCCGTGCTCGTGGCTTTGGCTCTCAGGGCCGAGGAGGCCGAAGAGCCCATTGCCCCCATTGCGCGCCGTGCGCCGAGCGATCTCCCTTTTCTCTCTGAGTCTCTGAGGTGCTCCGCGTAGGTCTCTGGTCCGTGAGAAAGCTCCCAGAAAATCCGGAGATCCCGCTGGTCCCGCACTCAGCGAGAGCCAGCCTGTGCAGCCTTTGCAGACTGCAGCCCAGGTTTACTTGAACGAAGAGGAGGGCCGGGTAGAGGTGGAGCCACCGCAAGAAGTCCTCGACGAGCTCCACATAGATGACGGCCTCCCCCTTAAAACTTCAACAGCTGTGGTGTGGCAGAGACTGCTTCGATTCGACCCCGGCGGCAGCGGCCCCGGTACCAGGTTCACCAACCGCTGCCCATCTGGAAGCGACCGAGCCTCCAGAACACGAAGCCTGGTCGGAGGAGCGCGATGCACAGGAGGACAGCCACTGCGCCTGCAAACAGGGGAGAACAGGGTCACAGGCCGGAAAAGCATGAACTCAAGAGGCTGGCATTCCAGACAAATCGCAAACTGGCATGCAATCGCACACTGATGGACTGATGGATGTGTTGCAGGATCGAGGGATGCGTATAGAGATCAAGAGCATGCTACTGGTAGTCCTACTGTAGCTGGTGAAGGCGAGAATCGCAACGGCCACCCAAGTCGACCCATGAATCTTCCAGTTTGTTGGGTTTCGCATTGCGCATGAAAGCCTGTGCCTTCAGTTACAGTTGTCACTGGGAGGACGATGGGAGTCCGGTGTTTCGACGGATCATCCTCGGGGCCAAAGCGGAGGTGGGATGCGGAGGCTGAGCTAAAAATGCTGACGCGACGGGGCTCTCGGAAAAGGTGCCTCTGCGAATGGCTCGGGACATCCTCGACGCAGTCCGGGAGGACTTGGATCTCTTTGAGCAGGTCCTCCCGATGGCATATGCGGGAAAGCTAGCAATATCTCCCGGGTTGGAGAGTCATGAGCGCGCGTCCATGGAGGTTCAAGAACGTTTCTCTGAGTCGTCTGGGGCCCAGAAACAGCAGAGCCCTTTGTCCAGCCACAGCCTCTGGTAATCTGTTCGAGCGCCGGGACACACCAGGCCCGAAGAATCCTGTTTCCGTCTTGATGATTCCTTCGATGAGGACCGAACTCGGCTTCGAGCAGTGCAGCTGCGCTGGTATTGGAGTGTCCCACCTGCAGGAGCTTGCGACGGTGGCACTGTCTATGCAGCCGGGGGAGGTATCAGAGGTCCTGGGAACAGAGGCACCTTCGGCTGGGAACTAGGACTGGGAGCCCGACCAACCGTCTGCGGAGGCCGGCATGCAGATCCTCCTCCGAGTTCGCTAGACCTGCCGGTCGTTCCGGGCCGCCCATCTGTGGATCATCGCTCGCGTCCGATTATCCCGTCTCACCTTCGACTGAATTTAGCTTTCGATCTGTGCATGGAAAAGCAAAAGTTTCTCAGAGGCCAACAGCTACTACTGAGTGCTGCTTTCTATTGAGTGGAGCTTTCGGTGCTCCAAAGCAACGATCCGCAGCCCTCAAGACTTCCAGGGTTCCGGTAACGATACTTTCCAGGTCAGCGTTGAGACCAACGTCTTGGCCTTAAAGCCTTGCTACAAGTAGGATGTAGTGTGATGTTTGCAGAAACGAAGGTTCAATACCTTTGAAAGGCCAAAGGGCCTGCAGCAGCGTGAGCTTTTTCGTGCCTCGCAGGTTCCATCTCTATGGATGTAAGTGGTGGAATCCCGAGAAGGAGACTGCTTGCTGTTCCAAGCCTCGGAAAGTCGAAAGGGTTGAGACCCCCTTTTCTGCTTGAGGACACTCATTCTTGCGGGTTTGGCCACGAGTGATCTTGGGCTGCATTTGGGCGTCGCTGTGATGCTCCTTGGTCCTCTCAGACTCGCTGCTTAAGCGACCGTGCCGTAAGGTTTCATTGCAGGGATGCTCATCCATGATCCCTACGCCGGCTCCGTAGCTTTGCCAAATCCTTCTTGGAACATCTGCCCGACAATGAAGGCACGAGACAGGTTACTGGCAGAACATGACCAGCTACTTGGAGAACTACAAGGTCCATGTGTTTCGTCGTGTCTGTTCTGTCTCGGGTGTTGCGCTCTCGGTCAGTTTGAAACGCCTGGACTCGAAACGACACAGCTGAATCCGTGTGCGCTGGCCGATACCTGAACTGGGCCTTGCACAGTGTTTTTGATGGGATCGTCACTTCGACTCTTGGCTTAAGGACATTCCCAGATATCTCCAGTGCAGCGGCCACGGTGAGTGTGCCGGTCTTAGCGTCTGCTGTGCGACATGCCCATCCTGCAAGCGTGGTTCCCGAGGCAAAGCGTGGACGCAAGATCCGACGCGAGACGATCTGCCGAAGGCATCGGCCCGCGACGCATGCAAACAGCACGGGCACACGAACGTGCGAACAGTTCTCCGGTTAGAAGCCTGCCTGTGCATGGTTTGAAAGTTTTGTGGGACTACCTTTAGTGCAGAGGCAAGTTCAGTTGGTGTCCGGGTTTACATAGGTCGAAGATTTCGGCTTAGGGTTTCGGGCTGGCTTAGTGGTTTTTGATTGCGGGTTGAGTGGGGTTTGGATTTAGACCGTTCTTTGCGCTGTTTGTGTGCGGGTCGCCTTGGTGGGGATTTGTGCAGAGGCGGCCTTGTGCAAACTTTGACCTTTGCGCAGGTTTAGGGATTTCCTTTTTCGTGCACGGTTTGCAATCTTCTTGCGCTGGGATTTGGGGTTGGAGTTTGGTGGTTCGGTTTGCAAGCTAGGTTGAAGGCATTGGGTGCAAGCGCGGGAGGCAAGCGGCATATTCACGCATTCTCGAAATTTACAGTGACATCCCGTTGGATGGGACACGTTATATACAGGATTCGGTTTTTCTTGAGTACGGTTCGGGCGAAGCTTGGGTTAAAGGGGTGTCAGGGTTTGGGTTTAGGGCTTATTTAGGATTATAGGTTTAAGGCTCATGAGTCAGTTTAGGGTCTAGGGCGCACTTCAGGCACCCGGCTCAATGACTCAAGGGGCAAGAAGCCGATGGCGAGCTGACTACCTGGACATGGTGACTGTAGATCTATCTCTTCGCGGGGCGATTGACGGTCAGTCCGAGCTGCTGCTGCTACTCTGCTATTTTGCTATTTGTTGCTGTGCTACTGTTGACTACTGCTACTAACTACTACCACTACCACTACCACTACCACTACCACTACCACTACCACTACCACTACTACTACTACTACTACTACTACTGCTACTGCTACTGCTGCTACTGCTGCTACAACTACTA